TCCTATGAGAGTCAAGATTTTCAAAGTAGGTATTGATGATCTTCTGAATTTCTTCAGGATCTGTAGTGATTTCACCCCTTTCATTCCTTCTTGCCTTTATTTCAGTTTTTCTTTCTTTTTTTTGATGAGGTTGGCTAGGGGTTTATCTATTTTATTTATTCTTTCAAAGAACCAACTCTTTGATTCATTAATTCTTTGTATTTTTTTTTTTTTTTTTTTAGTCTCCATTGGGTTAATTTCTGCTCTGAGCTTTATAATTTCTTGCCTTCTTTGGGCTCTGGGTTTGACTTGCTCTTCTTTTTCTGGGAACTTGAGGTGCAGTATAAGATTGTTTATTTGTGCTTGTTCTGTTCTCCTGAGAGTTCACCACTATAAATTTCCCCCTGAGGACTGCTTTCATTGTATCCCACAGATCCCTGTAGGTTGTATCTCCATTTTTGTTTGTTTGTATATAGTGTTTAATCTCTACTTTGATTTTATCTGTGACCCATTTGTTGTTCAGGAGGATGTTATTTAATTTCCAACTGTTTATGGAGTTTTTGTGTTTTCTTTTGTCATTAATTTCCAGTTGCATTGCACTGTGGTCTGAGAGTATACATGTGATAATTTCAATAACTTTGCATTTACTTAAACATGTTCTATGAACTAGTATATATCCTATTTTAGAAAACATCCCATGTGCAGCTGATGGATGGAGCATCCCATGTGCAGCTGATGCTGTTGGATGGAACACTTTGTAAAGGTCTACTAAGTCCATATGTTCACACATTTGGTTAAATTCTGTTATTTCTTCCCCAATTTTTTGTCTAGTTTATCTATTTCTTTGTGACAATGGTGTGTTATAATCCCCTGTTATGATTGTGTTGCTACTTATTTCATTTTTCATGTCTGTTAGAATTTGTCTTATATAGGTGGGTGCTCCTATATTTGGTGCATAGAAGTTTATGATTGTTATCTCTTCCCCTTGAAGCTTCCCTTTCACAGGTATGTAGTGACCTTCTTTATCTCTTTTGATTGTTCTTGGTTTGAAGTTCATGTTGTGTGCAAACAGAATAGCTACACCCGCTGTTTTCTGGGTTCCTATTGCATGGAGTATTGTTTTCTATCCTTTAATTTTCAGTCTTTGATTTTCCTTTTGAGTTAAATATGTTTCTTGTATACAGCATATAGTTGGGTTTTGTTTCCTAATGCACTCTGCAAGTCTGCTTCTTTTGGTTGGTGCATTGAGACCATTTACATTGATGGTTATAACGGATATGTACTGGTTTGTCTTTGTCGTGGTATTTTCCTGCTGTTGGATCCTCCTTTTTCTCACTGTTTAATTGCTTGCTCTGCTTGGTGGATCTTTTCTGTTGTTGTTCTTGGAGTTGCAGTCTCTAGTATATCTTTTAGTATTCTTTGTAGGATTGGTTTGGCACTCATGAATTTCTTCAGTTGTTCTTTATCATGAAAATCTTTTATTTCTCCATTAAATTTGAAAGATAGCTTTGCAGGGTACATCAATCTGGGTTGGAATTTGTTTTCTTTCAGTACCTAAAGTACTTCACTCGAAGCTTTTCTTGCCTTGATGGTTTGTGTTGAGAAGTCTGCCGTGATTCTGATAGGCTTTCTTTATAGGTGATCTGTTTCTTTTCTCTAACAGCTTTTAATATTCTGAGCTTTTGTTGAGTTTCCAGGGTCTTGATCTCTATATGTCTGGGTGTAGATTTGTTTTGGTTATGTTTAACTGGAGTTCTATATGTTTCACTTATCTGGATGTCCAATTCTCTTACCATGCCTGGGAAATTTTCTGCTATTATTTCTGCAAATAATCTTTTTATGTCATTTGTGTTGACACCTGCTGTTTCATTAATACATATTAATCTGACATTGTTTCTCTTTGCTTTGTCTTGCAGTTGTTGAATTGTTATTTCCTGATTCCTTGTTGTTTTCAAGAGATCCCTCCTTTCATGTTCATTGGTGGCAATGCTGTCTTCAAGGTCCGAAAGTCTATCTTCAGCTTCATTCAGGCGGTTTTGCAAGCTTTCAATGGAATTTTTAATTTCCTGGATATCTGTTTGCATCTGTTTCATACCTTCTAGTTCTTTTCTATAGTGTTCCCTGAAGGTTTCATTGAGTTGTCTATGCTCTTCTGTTTTCTTGTCTATGTCATCTTTGGAAATGCTGAACATTTCTTTCATTATTGTTGTCATTTCTTTTCTCACCTGAGACATTATTTCTGAAATCTTCTATGGCCTGATGGAGTTGTTTCTTTACTTCAGTTGCTATCATTTCAGAAATTTCAGGTGCATGACTTCCAGGCTCTTCTGTGTTGATGCCTCCTGGACTTGTTTTGGGTGGTGTGGAGGTCTGGGATTGCACTTTGCTCCCGCTTTCTGTCATTTTTGAAGAACCAGAGACTCCCTGTAGTGCAGTCTCACTGTCCTGATTGTGTGTGAGTGGCAGGGCAAGAGTCTGAAGATTCCCAGTGTCAGTGTAGCTCCTGTGCTGGTGAGTGGTGGCAGCCCAGCCCGGGCCGATACGCTATGTGTGTGGCAGGTAGCCCCTGAGGTCCCAGAGGGTCCCGGAGGTTTCGCCTGCCTTGCATGTTGGTCAGGGAGGCGGAGCCCAGACTCACTGTACTTCACGAAGGTGTCTGGGGTTTCAACCAGCTGGGGGGTATGAGTGTGGCGGGTAGCCACGGAAGCCCAGAGGGTGCCCGAGGTTTCTCCTGCCTTGCACGCTGGTCAGGGAGGCAGAGTCTAGACTCACCGGGCTTCCCGAAGATCTGTCCTAATCTTTTCGATCAGTCATAAATTAAGAGGATTCCTACCATGCTGAAGAAGTAGGCTGTGGAAACAAGTATTAATGGGGATATGGTTACATCTTTATAGATAACATGAAAAAGGAAACTATATAGTAATCCTTTGTTGACACATATAATGTGTATTTCTCTTTTGTATATTTGACCATGTGGAATTAATTGTTTTTCTTTTGAGATTAGTGCAATGTCCTGTCTCAGATTTCAAAAGTTTATTAACTTTTTTTGATATACTTTTCAAACTCTTAAAGAAGAAACTGAAATGAAGTAACACTCCAACATAGGGAGAACTGATTAGATGTGTGTATGCATGTAGATATACATGTATGTGTGTGTGTGTGTATATATATGTATATATATACACACTGGATAGGCATATGTATATAATTGATGATTTACATATTTATGCGCATGAATAAAATTGATAGAAAAATTAATGTCTGGGCTAAACCCTAACCCTATTTTGAAATTATAGATGAATTGTTTTTTAATGCAAATGTATTCCATCTATTTCTAGACAGTACAACTATTGAGTATAGTATTTAAATAATTATAAATTTTGGTGAATTGGTTTAAGTTAAATTATAGCCTATTTGTATTTCTAATTTGACATTCTTGGAAAAGAGGCTAGAGGGTAGACGGGAAAAGAGTAGATGTTTATCAAAGAGTATAAGGTTTCATTTAGATAAAAGGAATGAGTTCTAAGGATCTGATGTATGACACATTGACTGTTATTAAAAATACATTATTATATATTTCAAAGTTGCTAAAAGATATGTGTCTCTACCACAAAGAAAGTAAATGAAGTGATGGATATGTTAATTAATCTAGTTTGACCATTCTACAATGTATACATGTATAAGTACTTAATATTTGTCAAAATAATAAAAAATTTTTAGATGAAAAAATGTCAATATATTTAATGTATAATGCTTTACTTTTCTAAATGAGAGATTTTTTCTTATTTCAGATAACCAGATGAGGCCTCTTTTGAATTATGGTATTGCTTGGTGAGCATTTTTTAAAATTTTGTATTACTGTTTAGAATACTATCCATTAGCTTATACACCTGAGTTGTGCTTTTGTACTACTGTTGCAGTATGTCCATGGGCTTCCTGATTGAAGAGAGTGCACCAGTTGTTTGGAGAGGCCTTATGGTAATGTCTGCCATTGAGAAACTGCTGAGGCAGGTAAGAAAATTGCATTAAAAATCATTTCATTATTGGCGTGGCTGGGGTTACTGCATTTGTTGACTGGAGAATTGTAAAAGTTTGGGGTTAAGTTTGAGATGTTTTTTGAAGCAATCCAGTTGATGGACTTAATGAATGAGTAATGTGACACCTAATGAGTTACGTGGCACCAGGACCAAATGTCACTGTTGTATGATTTAATCTTTATTGTTGCCTGTGAATACTAAAAATGCTACTGGTGTAGTTTATATTGTTTTTGTTGCTTTCTTGAGTCTGCAGTAAGAAGAACAGACAAATAACCTGTGCTTTCTAGATTTAGGGTTAATCTCATTGGGGCACAAATTGAATTGTAAAAGTAGTATAGATATTCTTCAGATGTAGAAAGTAATCATATAAACTGTGGTACTAGTGATTTTAAATTGTTTCTCCTAAAATATAATTTTTTTTGCTTTGCATATGCATACTTATATAGTTATGTATGTAATATCAGGTCAATCAACTTTAATATATCTTTAAGAAAGGGGCAGACCATTTCCTTGGATAATGTAAGTGTATGAGTTGGGCTGTATGTTAATTATACTGTGCTTGGAATACATTTTTTCTCTATGGCTATGAGTTTATAATTTTGTTCTAGGTAAATATTAAAAGTAATTTGCATTTACTCCACCAATTTATAACAGTCATGTCTAATTTATTTAGATTCTATTTTGGGTCTAACATCATGCTCTAAGTGGATAATTCTAATGCTAAACCTTTCTATATTCCTTTTCAGATGTGCATGTAACAGATTTCAGTATTAAATGCTGAAACCCTTCCTTTTTCTTTGTTACATCTTGTCTTCCTAGTGTTTTTCTTCAGTTCTGTCAAATGTGTTTTTTGATCTTTGGACCCAAATTCCGATTCTTCTAGTTATTTAAGTTTCTTGGCTGCATTCCCTCCTCTTGTTGGTTATTTCAGTTATATTCCCTGAAATACCCCTTGTTTGCAACTTTAACCTTTATCTTTGTAAATTAACTTAGTCTTTTTTTTTGGGGGGGTCTCTTCTGTACTTATGAAGACTGTTACATAATATAGAATAATTGTGTTAATTGCCTGTGTTATACTTCTTCTTCATTTTTTTTTTTTTTTTCCCAGTACTGGATATTGAACCCAGGCCTCACACATGCTAGCAAGTAGTCTACCTCTGAACTACATCACCAGCCTAACATTATAGATGTTGTCTTCAAATTTAGCTACCCTCTTAACACTTTAGTCATCTGTTTTTAATCATTGATCTTATTTAGCAAAAGCTCATCTAAAAAACAATTTGTAGAGAATCTGGTAGTCTGGCTGAGGACTAAGTGGAGATTTGGTAAAAACAAACTTTCTGACAAATGAAATTGTATAATTCAGTTTATTCTGGCAAGCTCTAAAGATACATTTTCAGCACGGATACTATAAAGTATCAGGGTGGAAGATGGAGAAAATAAATGCACATATTATTTTATCAGTGTTCTTAGAGGCTATCTAAGGTTGTGTATGGATTGTATATATACTTTGCTCTTTCCTATAGTCACTTTTATCTGCACATTTTAATGGGATGTGCAAAGCTGTTATTTTAGGATCTATTGGCTAGTGCCTATCAAATGAGGTGCCAGTTAGGGTCTCTCCCTGCTTTAAAATTATTTATTTATTTATGGCAGTGCTGGGGTTTGAACCTGGGACCTTGTGCATTTCAGATAAATGTTCCACCACTAAGTTATGTCCTGAGCCCTCACTTTTTAATTTTAATTTTGCTTTGGAAGTGAACCTGTGCATAGCAGTGAATTGCAGAAGGTAGCTGATTCATTGGCTGGTTTAAAAAATAACCTAAGTATATATACTTTATCTTTTTACTGTTGAGGAACATTTGAGCTGTCTCCATATTTTGGCTATTGTGGATAATGCTGCTATAAATACAAGTATTCTTAAGAATTCAAGGTGCTTCACATCTCTGTAAATATTTGCTTTTGTCAGTCCCTTTATTTTTAAATATTCTAGTAGGTGTAAAATGGTATCTTGTTATGGCTTTTTTCCCAATTATTAGTGATATCGAACCTCTCTTCATGTGTGTACTGGATCTTGTTGTATTTTCTGTGGGATAGCTGATTGTCTTTTACTCATAGCTTTTTTTCCAAACGGATTTTATTGGTACATTTTAGGTATATATAATGATCACGTTTATCATAGAGAATTTGTAACTGTACACGATATAACTTGTTTTTTTTTCCATTCCACTACCCTCCCTTCAACCCCTCCTGCCCTCTCCATTTACAAAAGCTTTGTTTCTATTTCTTCCTTCATTTCACATTTTTTAACTTTTCCCTTTTTTTCCTTTGCCCTTTCTAATTCCTTGTTCCCCTACCTGTTTGAATATTTTCTTCCTATTTTACAATATCTATTATACATTTTTGTCCTTATTTACAATTTCAGTTTCTCACATGAGAGAAACTATGGTATTTATACATGTGTGCCCAATTTATTTCACTTAAGAGTATGGTCTTAAGGTGCATCCATTTGCCTGGAAATGTCTCAGGCTTATCCTTCTTTATGGCAGAGTAGTACTCCATTGTATATTTAAAAAACACATCTTTATCCATTCATTGGTTGATGGGCATTTGGGCTGTTTGTGAGATTTGGCTACTGTAAACTGTGCCTCTGTAATCATGGGTGTGCATATATCACTGTGGTATGATCCTTTTAATTCTTTTGAGAAGATACCCAGAAGGGGAATAACTGTGTTGAATGGAACCTCTAGTCCTAGTTTTTTGAGGAGCTTCCATACTGATTTCCACAGTGGTTAGACCAGTCTATACTCTTGCCAACAGTGGAGAAGATTCCTTTTTCTCACAGCCCCTCCAGCACTTGTTATTGGTTGATTTCTTGATGATATAGCCATTCTTTCTGGGGTGAGATGGAATTTCAGCTTTGTTGCCCTTCACATTTCATAAATGACCAATGATGTTGACATTTTTCTCATATATTTAATAGCCATTTCTATTTCTTCATCTGAGAAGTGTCTGTTCATTTCAGATGCCCATTTTTGGATTGGGTCTTTCAATTTGGGAGGTCTGATTTGTGTTTTCAATAGTAATCCTTTGTCTGAGGTACATCTGGCAAAAATTTTTTCCAGTCTGTAGGTTATCTCTTCACTCTGTTGGTAGTTTCTCTTGTTTTGCAAAAGCTTTTTGTAAGATGAGATCACAGTTATTTGTTATTTGTGATAGTTCCTGTGCAATTGAGGTTTTGTTCATAAACTGTTTACCTACACCAGTGTCTTAAGAGTTCTACCTATTCTGTCTTCCAGCATATTTAGTGTTTCTATTTTAATATTTAGATCTTTGATCAATTTTGACTTTAGTTTAGTGGATGATGAAAGATATTGGTCTAATTTTAATCTTCGATATGTGCAAAGCCAATTTTTTCAGCACCATTTATTAAAGAAGCTTTTTCTTCTAGTGAATATGTTTGGAACCTTTGTTAAAGTTAAGGTAGCTAAGTATGTCTGGAGTTGTTTCTGCATCTTTGAATCTGTTCCATTGATCCTCAGATCTGATTTTTTTTTTTTTTTCCATTACCATGCTGTTTTTGTTGCACTAGCTTTGTAGTATAATTTCAAGTCTGGGACTGTGATGCCCACTGCCTTGCCTTTGTTGCTCAGAATTGCCTTTTCTATTCTAGATCTCCTTCTGATTTAAAATGAATTTTGAGTTTGCTTTTTTAATTCTGTGTGATGTGCTCTTGGAATTTTGAGTGGTATTGCATTACATTTGTATAACAATTTTGGGAGTATGGCCATTTTCATTATATTGGTTCTTCCTACCCAAAAGCAAGGGATATCTTTCCATTTTCAGATATCCTCTTCAATCTCATTTTTCAGAGTACTGTAGTTTTCAATGTAGAAATCTTTTACTTCCTTCATTAGATTGATTGCTAGGTATTTCAGTTTTGGATGCTGTTGTGAAAGGTGTTGTTTCCCTAATGTCTGTCTCTCAGTGAGTACATACTGTCAGTCTCAGTGTACAGGGAGGCTATTGATTTTTGAGTGTTGACTTTGAATCTAGCTATGCTACTTAATTTGCTTATTAAATGTGTAAGTTTTTGGTGGGGTTTTGGGGGTCTTCCATGTAGAGCATCATGTCATCCATGAATAATGATAATATAACTTCTTCCTTTCCTATCATTAGTTCTTTTACTTCTTTCTCCTAATTGTTCTGGTTAAGTTTCCAGAACTATATTGAATAAGAATGGTGATAGTGGACATCCTTGTCTTGTTCCTGATTTTAGAGTGCAAGCTTTCAGTTTTTGTCCATTCAGAGTGATGTTGGCTGTTGGTTTGTCATAAATGACTTTTCATCAGATTGTGATAAAGACCATCTATCCAAATTTTCTGTAGGGTTTTTTTATCATGAATGAGTGTTGGATTTTGTCAAAAGCTTTTTCTACATCTATTGAGATGATCATATGGATTTTGTTCTTGACTGTATTAATGTGGTGTATTACATTTATTGATTTATGTATGTTGAACCATCCCTGCATCCCTTGGATGAATCCTACTTGGTCATGGTGTATAATCTTGATGATTTGCTGCATTCTGTTTGCCAGTATCTTATTGAGGATTCTTGCATCTATATTCATTAGGGAGATTGGCTTGTAGTTCTCTTTCTTAGTTGGGTCCTTCTCTGGTTTGGTATTAGGGTAGTGCTTGTTTCCAGGAATGAATTTGGGAATATTGTTTTCTTTTCAATTTTATTAAAGAGTTTGAGAAGTAGTGGTATTAGGTCTTCTCTAAATTTCTTGTAGAATTCAGCAGTGAATCTGTCAGGGCCTGGGCTTTTCTATGTTGGTAGGTTTTTAATTTTATCTACAATTTCTTTGGCTGATGTTGATTTATTTATTTCCAGTTTCATTGCATTATGGTCTGACATGCATGGGATAATTTTAATTCTTTTGCATTTACTTAAATATGTTTTGTGAGCTAG